GCAGTGGGTGGAGAGGGCTCTTTTGCTGAGTCAGGCAGAGCAGGGGGCCATGTGAGGCTGTTTATCAGCGAGGCGGTTTCCTGCGTGCTGCAGCTGTTGCTCTTGGTCTAGTTCCCATTTCTTGGGGCTGAAAGATTCAGAGAAGCCTCTAGAAACAGCCTCAGCTCCCCACGGCCTGATGTCTATGCAGCCCTGTGCAGGGGAAAAGGACACACGTTTCCTGTACGTGAAGGGCAGGGCACCAAGCAGAGGCTGGTGTGGAAACCTTGGGAGAGTTCCTGTGTTTCCCTGAGAGCTCACAGAGCTTGGTTTCCAGTGCCACCTCCTCCCCTCCTCTGATGGAGGTATGAGATTTGTTAGAAGGTTCCCATGCAGTGTATGTGTTATTTTCAGATCCTTCTTTTCACAGTTTGGCCCCCATCTCAGTCAGGGTGCACTCTCCTTTCCACGTGGTAGTAGCCCTGACACGAAGGAAGCTGAAACATTTGCATCACTGAGATTTTAATTTGCTAGTTCTAGCTAAGGCTTGCTCTCTTCTACCCCTCCCTCTGCACCTCAGAAACATACAGGCCATAAGCAGGCAGTGGAGTCTGTCATCACCAGCACTGAGGCTCTGCTGGGCACTGGGTGCTCTCCTCCACCATTTCAGCACAGTGCACTGATACCCTGGAGACCTGCTACAGGTTGTGTTTGTGCTCAGGGAGTTGCCTGCTCCTTGGGTCTCCAGTTAAAAAGCAAGCACGTACCTGGCAGAGTGTTTGCTCTATTTTTCCTTCTCGTCACTGCTCTGTTCTCAGCCTGCCCAGCAAGCCCAGAGCTCCCATCATAGCCATCGTCATGTTCTGGAGACACCTACACGCTGTGGTAAGCATATATTTATAAATGTATAAAATATGTGTATTATAATCTGTGCTTCCTGTTTCTGTCAAGATGGTTCATTTATGTCTGAGAAATTTACTGGCACCTTTGTCTCCACTGCATCTGTCTTTGGGGTTCCCGTATGCTGGGCTTGCCCAGAATAGCAGTGCTGTCTGTAGGACTCTTCTCTTTCAGAAGTGCCAAATATACCAGCAATGCCAGTTCAGAGGAATCATACAGTGCATTCATTCCCTATGGGATTTTTCAGTGCATTGTACTCACAATCTCCATTTTTCCACCTATATCTTTGATCTAGACTTAGATTGTTAAATGTTGACAGGAACAAGCACAATTTGTTCTGCCAGTACTACTGGGCTGGGCAATCTTCCTTTGGTAAACATGAATTAACCATAGCATAACACTGTATGCCCTAGTGGTGACTCCCTTCTTAAGAAAGCAATTTTAAGCAGATATCACGTCGTCCCTTTTTTTTTTTTTCCACTCTTGCTACACAGCAAGTTCTGAGTATTGAGTCAGCTTTTTCCCTCAAAACCATGAGGCTGCATTTTGCTGTGTCATGGTCTGCCAGATCCCCTTTAACCCTTTCTTGCCGGAAAAGACTAGTTTTTACCAGGTTGTTTTCTCTTCTTAGCCAAGCCTCGGCTGTGTGCCAGTCCCAAAATGTGAGAGAGTGCTTCCCACACACGTTCAGAGGAGTTGATTTCATGTTCTGTGACTGACTATATAGCTAGAAATTTCTGAAACTTCTCTACCCCGATGAAATCACGACTCCCCACTAACTTTACGATGTTATTAACTGCTCATCTAATGAATCTCTTGACTTAAACTTTGGCTCAGTGGCCAGGATATGCAATCAGAGGTTTCTAAGCCCAGCAGGGACTGCTGCAAATATCTTGTCTTGGGCTACTTGATTCATGTTTACTAGAAGTCTCCTGGGCAATTTCACTTGTTTCCATGCACATCACCTTCACATTAAATAACTCTGGCACCACCCAACAGCTGCTTTGTGAAAGAACAGGAGAACGGTATTACGGAATTTCTGGCAGGCAGGTGGAGAGACCACAGATCTGAGACCTTGATGCTGTCCAAGCAAAATTTACTAGTGATCTGGATCTGGACTGGCATCTGCCTTTTGAGTGGGGCACACTGTACACCTGACTGAGTTGTTCTAGGGGCCAGTTGTTCTTTCTGCTAAAAATATGCTCCTCCTTTCCAGTGCATCGTTCTTAAACGTCAACTTCCCATGTCGTCTTCTAGGAAGAGATGGTCACTCACAAATCTCTGACAGAACTTTGCCACTTTCTGTGTCCTTAACCTTCCCTCCACCACATAGCAACAGCACAGCAGAAGTAATACAATTCCTCGCTGCAGAGCAGTGGACAAGGCCAAAAATGCCCCAGGCCAGTGACTACAAAGATGATGACAGCACATTTTCAGTTCCTCTTCCATCTTGGCTGCTGAGCCCTTGGGCCTTTCTGGGGAGCTGGGCCCAGTCTATAACAGCTGCTCCCTGCCCTTCCATCAAGTAACCCTGATCAGCTAGAGATCAGAAGGTATAACTAAGTTATGGGACACGGCTTGTTCCCCTGCACATGTGGAAAAAATTCATCTGGAGAGGTAAGGTGCAGGAGGGAGATTATCTCTTATGACTGGCCCTGGAGAAGGTAAAGCCCCAACAGCCACCAGGGAGGTATGTTGGGGAGCACCTAGAGCAAAAACCTGGATTCCAGAACAGTGTGGTTACAAACCAGAACGTTTCCCAGGAAGAAGTATCCTATCTGGAATAGCAGTAATATGACTAAACAGCTCTCTCTCCTCCTCAGTCCATTTGCCTCATCCACATCTTGGCTACCTCAACCATGGATGAAAGGGAAGGAGGAGGAAGATGTCTTGGACAGATCTTTTAAAGCATCTCCAAGCATGCAACCTCTCGGGAGAAGGAAGGCTGGCAGGGCACAAAAGCACAGATCTGAGAGCAACTAGAAAACCTTTGCAAAGGAACTGGGCTCATTAACAGCTGCTGAACAGACATGAAGGGAGGGGCAGGGTTTGGGCTTGGGGTTTTCTGATCTCGACCAAGTATACCTCCCTCTACTGAAACTACAAGTTCAATTTGTGCTCCAGCTTCCCCTGTCAGATCAGGACTCACTGAAAAGAACTGAAAACTGCTTGTGAGCTTTAAGAGAGCAATGCAAGAGAGAAATGCTCATTTCAAGGACATCCCTGTGGCAAGATGGCATCAATGTCTGCAGGACAGAACGGCCATGCAGCCCTGCACTCCTGGGGGCTCCTGTGCAGAGCCCTCTGTCAGAGGGTGTTTGGGGCTTTGTCACACCTTCTGAAGAGATTCAGACATCCCAATGTATTTATTTTACCATACAGATAAAGCAAACAAGTCAGTAACAAGTTGTGTGCAATGGCATGGGGGAAGCGGGGAAAGCAAGCAACTTGTCACTTTTGCTAGCGTGTACTGTTGCTTTAAAGAAAGAATAAGACAGGAAAAGTCTGGCTGAGTCAGGGTGGAATTGCTGACTAATCCTTCCTGAGCTCCCCACACTGCAAACCAGATGTCTGCCTGAGTGAAAAAAACAAGCGTAGATGCACATTTCCTCCAGGACAGCTTTCTAACCTATGGCACCACAGCAAGCTACTGTTGGGGTAGCTGCAGTGACAGGGAGACAAGGCAGCTTGGGCTGCAGCGCCCATCAGCACAGTCTCAGATTGGACTCGCCAGGACAAAAGATACAGACAAAAGATAACTGTAGTTCTCCTCCCTCCTCCCCCTGCTTTGCCTCCCTACCACTTCATGCATGTAACACAGTGCTGTGTTACTGCAGCAGCGCTTTCTCACCTCTGCATTAGCAGGGGAATGCTGTTTTTAAGTGCCTTGGTATTTGGGTTGCACACAAAATTTGTGCTTTCTCAAAGCAGAGCTGGCTGATGCACCTTCAACCCTGGCTAGCCCTGCTTCCAGCACAGTTGGAAAACAAGGGCCCCACCATCCATTGGCTGCCTCATTAACCACTTCAAAAAACAAAACAGTGGAGGAGCCAGCTACTGGCAGAACCAGCTTATCCAATTCTCTTTTCCCAAATCAGAGGAATTATTTGCATTTGAAAGTCTCTGCAGACTTCCCCAGAGTTTTCCCTAAATCCTACATCACATCTTTTCAGTCCTTCGTGCATACCGGCTACTGTAGTCTTCTGGGTATCTAAGAGATGGGGCGCTCTCCTTCCAAAATGCCCTGCACGCAGCTGTGACAACAGCAGGGGCCGTTTGCCATGCAAAGCAGCCGCTCTTGTTTCCATTCATAAGGGAGCAGAGGATGTCTCAGCGCATCGGTGCAGGCAAACCTGTGATGGCTCCACGCAAAGAGGAAGGATTTATTCACCAGGGTTCAGCTCTGTGCAGCTGTAGTTCTGCCACTTGCAGACTGGAGCTGGTGCGTGCCTATGCCACAGCACCCAGATTACTCACAACTGGTACAAAGCCCAGGGTCCCTGCTGTGCTCCTCACTGTGGAGCGGGCATGCTCCTAATCTGTAGGGCAGAGCTCCCCACCCCATGGCCAGTAAGCACTAGGTTACCTGAGGGGACTCTCTGACAATGTTCCTGGCCACAGGAAATTAAACATTTACACCTGAGTCTTGACAGAGACTAGGACAGATGCTGTATTAGCTCCCCAGGTGGGGTGCAGCTGGCACACAGATTGGGGGAAAAGGCTGTGGGGAGAGGAGTTGCCCACCCTGCCCCATCACATTTGACCATGGCACTAACCAGTAAATCCACCCCTCTACCCAACACCGCTGCCCCCAGCACAGTGACCACTGCTTGTAGCACCTGGGCTCTGCCTGCCATCGGCACTGTGCTGAAAGGGTTACCAAGCCAGGCAATCTTGAAAAAGAAGTTGTTCAACATCCTCTTATTTGTGCTTAGTTGTCAAGAGGAATCAGGTGACTTCCTTCTGCCGTCCAAGTCTGGTCCCTCAGGGCAGCAGGCAAGGAAAGGGTGACAGCAACGCTGGGAAGGGAAGCACAGTTGTGTTGCAAGAAGTTTGTACTCACACTGAGGTCAGCAGTTGGGCTGCTCACGTGACCTGGCCAGTATAAAGCTCGATGCAGGAGCCAGGCTGCCCAGCTCAAACGCTTCGCAGTGTCCTGGGAGCAGAAGGGAAGGAAGAAAGCAAGGGCAAGAAAAATCAACAGGGACACAGAGGAGAAAACGAAGTGGAGAAACATGGATACTTCCCAGACACACAGCTCTGAAAGGTGAGAGCAGGACTGGAATGAGAGGGAAATTTCCAGCCAAGAGAGTATCATATTTTTCCCCTTGCTTTTAGGTGTACTGTTCCTGTTTCTGCTCTGCAGGGAACAGCATGCTCTTTCTTTCCCCTCTGGATGGAGCCTAACAGTTTTACTTCCCCTTGGACAGCGTGTGAGATACTAGCGCTCCCTTGATCCCATCCGTGGCTCTCGGGAGTGCTCTGCTTCTTTCCCTGCCTTCCCAGGCTTCCCTCTTTTTGCTAGAGAGCTAAGATCCATTTTGCAGGAGGAAAGTGACAGCACCAATATCTCTTTTGCTTCTTTTCCCCAGCATGTCACGGGACCTGTCAGAACTCATGAAGGAAGCCACCAAGGAGGTGCACGAGCAGGCAGAGAATACACTCTTCATGAAAAATTTCCAGAAGGGGCAGGTGTCACTCCATGAATTTAAGGTACTTGCAGTAGTATTGGGTGGGGATGGGATTTCCTTGTCATGGAATACACTTGTAGATCAGATAGGCTATGCGGGGACTAAAGGTTGAGGGGTGAAGGAAGCCCTTTGCATCACAGCAGTCTAGTATCAGCATCTCCTGTGCAAAACATGCTCTTAATCAAATTTTAGCACTCTTAAGACTTTACAGGCTCCTCCTTCAGAACGTGAGGCAGGATTGTATCTTTCTGGATAGGCAGTCAAGCTGAAACAGGATAAAAAGGCAACGAGATTGTAATTGCTTTTATCTTTCCTTATAAATGCCTGCATGTTAATTATGGCCAATGAGAGTTAATGGAGATACAACTATGTACAGGTGTATGAGTGATTAAAATGGCAACAAGAAAGGAGAATACTTTAGAATGCTTTAGGCGGTTACAGCTAGAAATAATGATGGAATAATGAGAAATGTGGGATCATTTTTGGCACTGAACCTTGCAGAGTTGTAGTTATCACTTGAGTTATACCAGAGCTGCGATCAGGAGCAATTACTCGAGGCAGAGTAAGTTTGAGCAAGCCATGTCTGTTCATGTAGGAGCCTGTTGCTTTTCTTAAGATATAACAGAATCATTTGCGGTTACGGAGTCTGTGTCTAATCTGGCTAGTTAATGTGACCTGAGCCACGTAACAAAGCCATGTGTAAAAACAAGGCAGGCATATGAGCTAGAAATTCCTGGGAGGTTAGAGGATGTGACACAGGGGTTCCAAATAACAGCTAGTAAGCTGAGCTGTGGCTTAATGACTTTATTTTTGAATTGCTCCTTGATAAATACATCCATAGGAGTAGGGAAAAAGAGTACTTATTTCTGATAGTTCACATTCATGACACGCAGTCAAGCATACTGTTAATCTCAGGTGCTGACCTCCTCCTGTTAGAAATGTGGCATTTGTTAGGCAATGAACTTTGAGACAGGCTAGCGATAACCTAAAAAGTCAAGCCTCTAAGATCCTGGAATACAGCTTAGTTTCTTAGAAAATTCTTAGTTTCTTAGAAGTTTCTTAGGCTTCAGGAGGAACGAGATGTGATGCTGGATTTTAAAAAGTAAGATGATGATTTTCAAAAGCTACTTTTCTCAGTAAACTACTATCTCTGATAGCAATAGTCAGATTAAATCCTTTAATTTGTTAGGCAATATTCCTGTATTTTATTTCTTTTCCAGTAAGCTAGATGACAAGTTATTGTTTAAAAGCTCCTTTTGTTTACCCTCTTGGCAAACCTATATATCTGCCCTGAAACATGACTCCATAAAATTTGAGTATCTGTTTCTGCAATCAAGTCACTGCCTGTCTGCATATCAAAGTCCTATTTGCTGACATAGTGGGGAAAAGTTGAAATGGCAACTCTTCTACTGCTAGAACTAATAGCTTTGTGGGAGAATAAACCACTTTTGCTCCTATCAGCAGTATAATTTCCCCCTCAAGCCTGACTCACCTGTGCTGCAGGGCCTTCACGTTTTACCCTTTGCTGCTGATGAGGGATTTCAGTGTAAGCAAGAGGTGGTGTACATATAAATACGTATATAGCTTTTAAGAGCAGAATGTCCAGCAAAGGAAAGAACACAGCTAGATTGTCTTATGCTATGTGGAAAGGCTGGCAGATATAAAAAAAGTATCGTGTAAGCTGGGAAAAACAACAATAACAACAGTCTGAAAATAGTAATGAACACACAGCCTCGCAGTGATCTTTCGCAAAGGCATCTTTCAGAGGCAAGCTGTGCTTTCAGTCCCCTTTGTATCTTATCTCCTTGGGGCAACCACAGGGAAACAAAGAGGCAACCCTACTTACAAATCTGAATGAAGAGAGCAGTGGTGCCTCAATTCCCAGGACGGTAGACTGCCAACAGGATAAATAGGCTGTACAGTAAACAGGGTGTGTCATTGTCTCATAAGGCCCCACAGAGGAAAGGCACATCTTGAAGCATTCAGATTTGAACAATACACCAGAAAATATACCTTTGGGAATAATCTCTCTATTGACTAGGGGGAATGAAGGGAATAGACTAGGTATGATTTAATAGGGCTCCATTTTCTATAATATCAAGCTGCCAGAACCTTAACTTGAAGGTGAAGACAGCAGCTTTTATGGACAGGTAAGACCAACATCTGTTGAGAATAACTTAGGTCTCAGCTGATGCTGCCTCAAGCAGAAGGGGAAGGGCTAGAGGATGTCTCACTGTCCCTTCCAACTCTGCTTTCCATATGTGAAATCTACAACAATATAACATATTTGCATGATTCATACTGGGTGTGCATATGAGTAACTTTTTTTGTTAGTGGGATTTGTCCCAAAAGCTGGAAGACAGACAGATGCACCTGTATCTCATACCCTCCCTTCTGTTTCAGCTGGTTACTGCCTCCCTGTATTTCATCTACTCTGCTCTGGAGGAAGAGATCGAACGTAATAAGGACAACCCAGTTTATGCCCCTGTTTATTTTCCGGTGGAGCTGCACCGGAAAGCTGCCTTGGAGAAAGACTTGGAGTACTTCTATGGCAGCAATTGGAGGGAAGAGATCCCATGTCCTGAGGCTACTCAGAAATACGTAGAGAGACTCCATTACGTAGGCAAGAACCATCCAGAGCTCCTGGTGGCCCATGCCTACACTCGATACTTGGGAGACCTGTCTGGGGGGCAGGTGCTGAAGAAAATTGCCCAAAAGGCCCTGCAGCTGCCCAGCACTGGAGAAGGGCTGGCTTTCTTCACCTTCGATGGAGTCTCTAACGCCACCAAGTTCAAACAGCTCTATCGCTCCCGCATGAATGCCCTTGAGATGGATCTTG